GTGGATGAGGCCATAAGCGAAACCAGACGACCTTGCCCCGCTGCGTTGGGTTACGGCTGCGTTGCGTAATGGAGGAGAGCAAGAAGAAGACGGCAGGAGAAGCGGCCGCAGCGGCCAAGGAAGCTGCGGTCTCGGCTGCCCAAGCGGCCAAGACGAAGGCGGCCGAAACCGCAGGGGCGGCCAAGGAAAAGGCAGGAGCAGCAGCAACTTCAGCCAAAGAAACAGCGGGAGCAGCAGCAACATCAGCTAAGGAAAAGGCAGGCGTGGCAGCAACATCAGCGAAGGAAAAGGCAGGCGAAGCGGCATTTGCAGTCAAGGAAATGGCTTCTAACGCTGCAATTGCAGTGAAGGAGAAAGCATCGAATGCTGCCATTGTCGTCAAGGAAAAGGCCTCAGCCATTGCAGTGGCGGCCAAGGAAAAGGCCGCAGAGGCTGCAGAGTACACCAAGGAAAAAGCAGTTGCAGCCAAGGATGCAGCAGCAACAGCGGCAGTTGCAGCGAAGGATAAGGTAACAGCGAAGCCAAAAACCACATCCCCGGAGGGGGAACCACCCTTACTAAAGAATCCCTGCTGCAGCGAAAGCTGCCAGAACATAAAATGAATTTCAGCACCACTAGCTGGACAACCGAGAACAACAGCGGCGGCAACAGCAGCAGCAGCAACAGCAGCAGCAACACCGCGAGCACGGCAGCAACATCAGCAACATCAGCATCCCCCGCAGTAACACAAAGCCGGCAGCAACACAAAAAAAAGAGCAGCAGCTGCTCCGATAAAAAGCGAGTTGGAGGGACAGATAACCGGTTGAGCCCATTCAAAAATTATATCCACAGCCGGTTGAGCGAGCAGATTGTCATTTGGGCCGCATGTGACCTCTAGGCGGAGCCACTCCCCCTCCCCTCATTCCCCTCCCTCCTCCAGCCAAACCCAAATTGGTCAAACAAAATCAAGAGTCAAGCCTGTCTGCAGATAAACATCGTTAATTATTCATAGTAAATCAAAGCGCTCGGCAAATGCCAAAGAGGCAACTAAACTTTGTAAATAGCTGGGGGTCTTGGCCGGTTCTTCTTCTTCTTCTTCTTCCCCCGCTTGGGCCCGTTGTCATTGACAGCCCGAAATCAAAAGTCCAAGACGAGTTCTCTCTGATAAAATGCTAATTTTCCGTTGGCCAAGACAACTGGCATTAGGTGTGGACGGGGAATTTAATTGGTATAGGCTTTTGAGTGGCCTGCGGCACTTCCAAAAATAATTTCACTTATACATATACAAGAAACTAATGCTCAAAACAGTTCAAATTATAGTATCTGAGTTGTTCATTTTCTCTAAATTTATTTGAGAACTGATTTCCGAGAAAACTCTAGAAAAACTGTTTCAACGAAGTCGTCATCTTCAAATTAAATTTCTACGAGTTTGTTATCGTTCTGCTTTGTTTCACACTAGTTTTTTCATCCTCCATTAAAACCAGTTCGATTTGTGTTCGGCGATCATCGCCGTCTATTGAAGTTAATTAAAATTAATTTCTAGCGTTTTCAAGAGCAAATTACTTTTTTGCTGGATCTTCGGCATTCTTTTGCAGTGAGTGTTGAGTTGTGAGTTGCTGAGTTTTTGTTCCCAGCAGCGGGTAATGCGATGTGGATTGTCAACCAGAGCGTAACTTGCTCTGTCACGCAAATTTTAAGTTGCCTTTTTTCTCCACAGCTATTCAGATTCAGCTTTTTGTACATCGACTGCTGTTTTTTCGGTCCACTCTGCGAATTGCAGAGCCATAAATCGAATTCATGAGGCGTTAAGGTCTTCGAAAGTATTTTAGTTTGAACTTGAAATATTTATAACACATTTGGGCTCTTTTTCTCCCCCTTTTTGGCTGGGCCATAAAAGTTAAATGGCAGTTCGTATAATAGATTTTTCGAGAGTTGCATGTGGAAAAATCGGAATGGAAACTTCTGAAAATGTTTCGGACTGAATTTGCATTTATGATGGCTTTATTTGCATAAGACCGACGACTCGGAAACATCTTAGCGATTCGAGCAGATGGAAAATATGGCCATGTACTCCATTAAAATTCAACATTCTACTACAACTCACTTTCTTTGCTGTTCTTGAAACATGGCTAAAACCATTTGTAACCCAGAAGAAAGCGGAAAGCATTAGCGGAAAAGAGAGAAAGTTTAATTTAAACTCTATTTTGAGAAGCTGCGGGAACTCAAATGGTTAGCCAAAGTAATTAACGCACAAAAGCGAGAAGACCAACAAAAAAGGCAAACTAATCAATCGGTTATGTAACCAACACCCCGCTACTAACAATTAAGTTAAATTAAATGTGTGTCTGACTTGTATGCGAGCTTTTGTGATTTATTTTCCTTTCAAAACCATTTGGTGCTCTGGTTTTGCGTTGGTCGTGAGATGGCAGAAAACTTGGATATGCTTTTATGAATGAAATGTCATTGAATGGCAAAAAGTGGAGTGCAAAGATGTGAGCCAATGATCGAGTGGCTCCAAAGTAGATGGTGATGTCACACTTGATAAGACTACAGTGAGCTAAATATTACAAAAAATGTGTATATACAAAAATAAATCGCCAACTTATCTCAGGTGCTCGAGTTAAGTCCACAAAAGCAACAATAATCTGTTTTAAAAAAACCCAAACACCTAAAAATACTGCTATCAAACCATCTACAACCTATCTAAGGCGTAATTATTGCAATCTTATCAAAAAGTTTGCAGCTTTAATTTGGCTTGTTGAGAAACAACTAAATAATTAATCTTGATTCGGGCTGTGGACAGCTTATCAAAAGAAGGAAATACTGCTAAAATAAAAATGATTGGAAAACCAATGACCAAAAGTGCAGTGAGTGGACTGCGGCTGCATTTCCTGCATTTCAATCGCACAGCAAAAAAGGAAAATAAATCAAGTTTACATGAAAAATTATTTCGGTGCGGTGGCAAAAAGAAGATGATTGCTGTGGGGGTTCCAGCGGGGGAAAAGCCAGGACCACAAGTGGCTGGAACTCCGCTTTTGACCATGACGATGGCGATGGTAATAATGATTGTTGGTTGGCCATCATGATGTTGATGACGTCGAAGCGAGAGTCTGGAAAATTGAACGAACGTATGAACGTATTTCGCACCATAATCGGCTTCATTTGCGCAGATTTACGTTTCAATTTTTAAACACTCCGCTTCACAATCAGCCTTTCCATAATTATCATTTTTACTCAATTTGAAAAGCATTGTAAGAGATCAAAAGGGTAATTAAGAGGATTTATTGAATTGGTTTTTCTCACGTATTAAATTGTATACGTTTATAATTTATAAATGCGGTTCAATTGTGTTGTGGTTTTCACATCAAGGATTTGCTTCACGACTTATTCTGCATATAGTACTTTAATAATAATACTTAAACCTAAATTTTCGATTTAAAGCACATCCCCCAGTCGGTTAACCACACTCTAGTATTCCATTTCCATTTTCCCCATAATACTTTTAACGTTAAATTCAAAAAGCTTTTAAAATAATTTAAAACTTGTTTCTTTTTTAAGTGATTCGGCCAACTTGCTTTGGTTTTTTTACAGCATAAAAAGTGCTGCAGATAACAGAAAGGCAATGAATGTCAGAACATCCCTCAGTGAATGGATAGGATTTTTTGTTTAACACGTTTAAATTTTTTAAAAATGTTCCGCACGCAATGTTGATGGCCACCCACTTTTGCTTTGCGATGCCACTTCTTTTATTTATTTTATTGAGTATGTAATTTCGTTCCTCTCCACACGCTATCAAAATAAAGTAAAAAATATATTTGGAATTGCTGAAATAAATTGACATTTCGCCTCCTGCGAGGGCGAATTTCCTCCTTGCCGTGCAGAAAAATATTTTTTCCCTAGAAAACACAAACGAAACTTGCTTTTGCCCTGTTGGCTGGATAAATAAGTAAACAGAAGAACCCAAATTCAATTTAAGTACACGTGTGTCGAAGACAAATACAATTTACCACCACACAACAAAAACGCATAACTCCATGTATAAGTGGAATAAATTTAAAACTGGAGTGATAGGAAACAAAATAGATTTTTTAAGGGCCTTTTGGCATTTACACAACCATAGATAAGGTCACGCATAAAGAAAGGTTGCTCGAAATAAATTCATAATGTTATGGGGGTGTTACTCATAAAAATAATTTGAATGAGTGAAACCTATGACACACTAAAGAGTATTTTTTTTCGCACTAAAACTAAACTGCTGATAAAAAGCCCTCCTTTCCAAGCCAAAAATGACACAACCCATAATAAATAACCCAAAATGCTAACAATAACTATACGGCTTTGTCATATGACTGCCGACTGAGAGGCCGAAAAAACTTAATTAAAACTTGTAAAGTAAGCGACAAAAATACTGGTGGCAAGAGCTGGTGGCACCTGGCGATACGTGCGGCTAATTACGAAGTGTGGGTGGGGGCGGGGGAGGGTAAGGGGGAGTGGGTGTGAAGGAGGAAAAGAGAAAACAATGGGTTATCAAGCGATATACGGTGGCAACTCAATAATTACTATGCAGGGCGGCATACGCAACGGACTCGGCGATGCCATCATCATCGGGGTGTTCGTTAAAAAGAAGATAATGAAGCCTCGAACGGAAGAGGAAGGAGCTCCACTCACGAGTGGATCCGCTGAAAGTTCAAAATACATTTTTTCGGCAGGTATGGCTTTAACTGAAAAGTAAGCTGAAAAAGCTACCCAATCCACGATGTTTTTAAGAAGAAAGGAAGGAAGAACACCTGGCAGAAAAGCTCTGACAAAGGAGAATTTAAGTAAACAAAAAACCGAATGCGAAGGATAACAATTAATGAGATTAAATGATATTCTATTTACAGGAACAACAATATATAAATAATACACATTTAAAGATTTTATTATTCCTTGTTAATTTAAACGAAATATTTTTTCCCTCAGGTTGAGTTATCATCTCCGAAAATATATATAAAATATATATATAATATATTATAACTTACCTTTTCGGTGCTGGACTGGAAGTAGTAGACCATCACGAACATCCAAATGATGCTCACGAAAACAATCAATTTGATGTTGCGGCGCATTTTGGACAGCTTCTATATATTATATTTAACTCCTAATTGGGTTGAGGACGTATCACGTTCACTTCGATATCTATTTATTTACTTTTTGGTGTGGTTGTTTGGCAATTGAATTATGCGGTTTCACTGGTGGCAGAATAAAAGCATTGAGATGAGTGTAAACAAAACATATATTTAATTTTCGTATCTGTTTCAGTTGTGTGTTTCCACTCTATTTTTTCTTTTCACTATTTTCAATCATTTCCATCTTCACTCGATTCATTTGGCTTAATTGTATTTGCGTTTAAATTGTTCGACTCTGTTCAGCTTAACTCAATTGAATTTAATTAGGCCTGTTCATGAATGCAAGCCGCTTATCTAGAGCATTAAATGGTTTTGGCATTTAATTTTCTCCTTTTCAAAAACGAATTGCCAGGGGGATTTTATCGCCAATGCCTCGTGTTTATTCAAAGTTTTTGAGAGAGGTGCCGGATGTGACTTTTATAGAACAGAGTTGATTATTCGTAATGCATCAAATATTAACGTTGAGTATATAAATTTAGAAAAATATAAACAATCTTGGCAACAACAATAATTTGTTTGAATATTTTATCTAATCCCAGGGGCTTTATCGGAACCATGGAACCTGATAAGAATTCCACCACACTCACGGCCAGCTAAAATCTATTTTCAAGTTTAAACCGACTCTCAGACCCTCCAAAAATTACATCACGCACTTTAAATGGTCGCTAATTAAACGCTCGCAAAGCCAAAATGTGGTTTATTTCTGGGCAGGCGGTGGGAAAAGGGAAAGTGAACCGCAGCTGTTGGCCAACTCGAATCAAGCGTTTTCCAATTGGGTCCCAGAAGCGTTACGCATACGCAGCGTGTTACTACCGTTGTGATAAGATAAGCGTTCACTTCTTTCTCTTCTGTGTAATGTTTTTCGGAGTGTAAATCACAAGAATAGACCACAACTGACCGCTGTCTTTTCACAGCTATTATCGCTATTGTTTTATCGCTCTGCCGCTCGCCATTCACTTGTTCTCATTATAATGCATTTACCGTTTTGTCGATTATAACGTCTGTTGCCAACACGATTCAAACGCTGCCCGTGGCAGCCGCGATTTGCCACCAAAAAAGCGTCGACTGTCGGTTCGTTTTTGGGCCAGGCTTAGACGGAAATCGGGAATCGGAAATCGGGAACTTCGGAGACGAGACACGCGGCAATCGGCGTCGCATCGACAAATGGCCAAAAAGCGCAGCGGTCGCCTATATTTTATGCTGCCTGCTGCCAGTGGGGCTCCCATTGGGTGTGAGCCGTATAAGAGTTCCGTTCGAGGCGGCAACATCGAACATGCAACATGTTTGACGCCCATCTTCCATATCTCCGCCGACTTGATTAAATTACTGCTTTTGTTTTTGTTTGGCTAGCAGGGGGCTTTTGGCAGCCAAGTTTTAGACAGCTTTTGCATTGTCGTACACAGAAATATAAAAAAAAAAGGATTGGAGACAAAGTTGATCGAGAACATGTTAAGTGCGCGGTTTGCTTCGGTGTTATGAATTTTAATTAGCACTCTTTGGATAGCGGGTGTTGTGCATTATGTCTCTCAATTATAACTTCAATCAGAAAATGTTGTCATAATCATTTCAGCCAGCAGTTAACACCGTTGAGTAAAAAAATATATATTGTGCCATTATTATGTAGATTTTACCACGAGCATAAATCACCAATATTGTTCTAACTTTCCATAAATAAATTTAATTTATAATTAAAGTTAAATTGTAAAATCTTAAACACTTTGTTATTAACATTTCAATGTGTTGGCTTTATAGTGTTATTTGCATTTTGATCTAATTTGCATGATTAATATTTCAGTGATTTCTAATGGGCTTAGGTTTTTCTGTTTGTCTAAGCATAAATAAAATATTTCCCAGCTCAAATTTGTGGCTGCAGGCTTTATTTATATTTAGCGGAGTTTAATTTTAGATCTGTTTTTCACTTTTAATGCAATTGCCATGGTTGGGATTTTTAAATGGATCTAATGAAATATTCATTTAAATTGCAAGAGCAATTTTCAATTATGCAGATTTGACTCAACGGCAAAAAGAGAACTTTCCCGGCAACAATGGTCAGTTGGTCAGTTGGCGAGATTGTCCTTTATTTTTTCAGCTCACATGCAGTTGCAGTAAAAAATGTGCTTTATTTATAAATAGCGTATGTGGGGCAATCCAAAAAGGGATGCTGGAGAGCAGGAAGGATGGACAAGTGGGTCTTACAGTTCCGACCACTCCTCCCTTTTAAATTGGCTTAAAAACTCAACGAACAGGCAACAAAGTCATGAATATGCACAAGTCCATCGGGAAAAGGGGAAAGCAGAAAGGGGAGGGGAGGGGAAACTAGACAGGCAACTGAAGAATTCTCGAATAATCACACGAACACAAATGCACACGGCCAAAGCGAAAATCGTATGTCTGTGTGCGTGCGGGTTTTCCATTAGGCGTAATTAGAGCATTTAGCATCGAGGAAAAAGTTAAGAAAAGCCAACAGCAGAAACTGACAGATTGGGTTGCATATGTATGTGGGATACCGTTAGCCGGAGTTGCATGCCGCACACTCACACAGATACTCACACGTATTTGCACACACGCATGATTGCCCTTTCGCCACTCAGACAATTAACTTAAAGTTGGCAAGAGCTGCAGACGGCAACTGTGTTGGGGGCTCTTTCTTTGGGATCTAGTTCAAAAGTTCAATTTGGCTATCAACAGGTTAAAAAAAAAACTTATTGCTTATATTTAATAGACATTAAATGACTGCAAAGATATTAGAATTAGTTGTAGATTAAATCACGTATCCGCCTAGTTGTACAAATTAAGAAATTTTTAAGTATTGTTTTAGTTTTTAAGGCTTTCCAACATTTTAGGAACTAGTTCCAAGGGAATGAACCCAACACTTTGTGTATTTTCCAACCACATCCTTGTCTCCAATCGACTTTCGGCTCAAGTACGATAATTAAAAGTTGGCTAAATGTTGCATGAGTTGCAGCTTCCTTGAGATGCAGCTCGCACACCTCCCCTTGCCACACTTTCTGCTACTGATTCTGCTCCTTTTATTCCTGTTGCAGCCTGATCTTTTTCTTCGTTTTTATAGTTGCCTGGCCACATCCATTTGATTGCACACCATTTGCCACAGGAGTGTGTGTGTTGAGGGTAGGAGTCTCACCTCGGTGTTGAAGGCTACTGAATTCCCACTACATTGCACATTTAACTGTCATTTCGTTTCCTTGAGTCGATACGTGTGTGTATGAGAGAGTCTGATGCACTTAAAAAAATTATGTTATTCATATCAGAGAACTAAACAATTAATATAGAAGATATTTTTCGAAATCGCATTCCTTTAGGCTAGTAGAAAAAACTGCACTTAGATCCAATCACCCTTAACACATTTTTATAAATTTACTAATGCTAAAACCAAACTTTCTTTCACTGCATCACTTCTTTGCTCTCATTTTTCCTTCTCCTTCTGCCCTTCGGAAATCAAAGTGTAAATGTATTTTGTCAAATGCTGGCGCAAAAGTTTCCTGTTCTCACTGTCAGCTTCCTCGCCTTTTATCGCACCCCCTCTGCCATCCGGCGGAAATGTTGAAAATATTGCAGGGAGCCGTGATGCAGCCGCAAATTAATGCATAATTGCATTAGTCACTTCATTTGTGGCAAGTGCTGCAGGAAGTCTTCCTTGCAACCGCCGAAATTCGTTGCAGTTTATATCAAGTGGAAGGAAAGCTTTGGAAAGTGGGGGAAAGATACAAACAGGTGGAAATGGTTTGAGTGTCTGGGCGTGTGCTTAATGTCCTGATGTCAGACATTGCGAAATAAGTTTATAACCGGCAATAAGTAATATGTTTCTGTGCAATTTAACAAGGACTTAATTATGAGCGGATCTTAGAGAGCTGGATAACGTTCCTGAGATAAGATATTAAAAAGTTTTTAAAGTTTGCATTCGCAATATATGGTTTTTGTCGAATTTTTAAATAAATAGCATTTAAAGGTATTCATGCGAGGATGGTAGATTTTTGGCATTTTTGGTGTCCCAGAACGGCACAACCAGTATCATGTCTTTGACAATTTTCTTTCGAGCAACTGTATTTTTGGACCACTGTTCTAAAAAAAAAAGTAGGGGAGGGTGGTCCCATACCGACCCCCTAAAAGGCAAAGGCGATAAAGGTGAGAAAAATCAATTTTTCAGTTCAGTTCAAAAATTTACTATGTAGAGGGATCAGTTTACTATACATCTAAATGATTAGTAAGTGCGTAGGTGCTTTGAAGCGTTAGATATTCAGGCAAATATAAAACTCTACTTTTTGGTCGTACTCAAAAGTAGTGGTCCGAAACCGACCCCCTATTTCTTAACAGAAAAATTTAATAACATAAAATAGAATTTAATGATTTTGACGTTTATTAAGAAATATATTGAAGGTTCTTTCCAGAAAATAAAAATTAATGTATGAAATAAAGGGCAATGTAGACAATTGATGAAGTCTGAGTTGTCCTCTTTCTCATAGTAAGTTTTCGCGTTGTTTTCGCGTAGTTTTTCGAAAGCCGCTCGTTGATGACTGTCTCTTCGCTTTCTTCTGATGTTTTTGCTTTTTCTGTTACTTTTCTTAACTGAATCTTGTTTACTTTTTCATATTTTCCATCAAAAATACGCTATGACATATTAAGCTGCCAATAAATGGGGGTCGGTTTCGGACCATCACCTAGCGGTCGGTTTCGGACCACCACGACCTTTTCTGATTAAGTGCTCGGCATTAACTAAAGACGCAAAGAGCGATGTAATTCAAATTATTTGAGGGAAAGCTAGGACTATCAACGATCAGAAAAATTTACTCTCCGATTTTTATGCGGAGAAAAAAAACTTTGAGCTCAAGTTCAGTAAAGCTCAAAAATAAATGTCACAGGCGTTGAAACAAAACAAACGGAAAAATTGCAGTGAAACAAAATAAGTCAAAGTGGCTATCTATCTCCAAAATGTCTGTGTTATAACAGCTTTTCACTGAAGTTACCGACAATTCGGCTAGCATCGCCATCTCTGAGAAACATGGGGGGTCGGTATGGTACGACCGGTCGGTATGGGACCACCCTCCCCTATTATTTTCGATGGATTTTATAAAGATGTCCTTAACTTTTGTTCTTTTTTGCTTAGGGACCTAATATTTTTCTTTGGCGGTAGGCTTTATGCTCTTTCGCTCTCTTGCTCTTTTTAGTTTATTGCACTGAGAAGCCGGCCTTGGTGCTTTCCCTCTTTTCGATTCTCTCTCCGAAACACCCTTTCTCTCACTGCCTCTCTGCGATTCTTTTTTTTCGGAGGTAAGGGTGGCGCTCTCCCGCAATTAACGGTGGCCAAACCTCGCATGGGTAACCCCGGTGCTCTCTCCTTCTCTATTTTCCTATGGGACTTCATAACAAACTGCCCATCAGCTGCTCCATCCGCTATATAAATACATATATATCTAACATCTATATAGCGCCACTGTTGTTGTTGCTTTTGGCACGCGCCTCTTTGACTTTGTTTGTCTGCCTTCGATTTTTAACAAACAAACTGCTGAATGCAAAATGCAGACTGTTAAATGCAAACGCAAACACAAATACAAACAAACGCCAATGCCTTAACATTGATTAGTTGCAATTTTTGCTTACACTCAAATACGATGTGAACACGTTATTTTATCACTTCTTTTATGATTAATGGACATATGACTTTGCCTATTGCTTGCGTTTTCACAATTTTTGTTTGTATTAAATGCACTTTGGTGTTTTGGTGTTTGCTAGATTACTTGTACGAGGCGTGTGTACAAAAATATACTTTGAATTATTTGTAATTTGTTAACATCGAGTTATTTTATTTATCAATTTATCATTTATTTAGTTGGTACAACGCGACGACTTTCGTTTCCCGTTTCGTTCGACAGACTGAACTTTTTGTCCCGTTGTCTGTTTTGTGCCTATTTCGGGTTGTTTCTTCCCCTCTTTCTCTGTTTTTTTTTTTTGTTTTTAGATGAAGTAACTTTTCTTCTTCTTTTTGTCGCGCATTTCCGTATTTTTTACCCTTTAGCTTCCTTCTACGCTGGCTCTCTCTCTCTCTTCCTCTCTTGGGGGTGGTTTTGGTTAAGCGAGAGCTCTCTCTCTTCATTTTCACCCTTTGCGCATGCGCGGATCTTCCCTTAGGCAATTCAAAATGCAAATACCGTTACAAGTGGATTTCTCACATTTCACCAGTGAAACATGTTGCTAAGCATATCAACAAACTAAAAAATGCTCTTGTAAAAAAAGAATAGATAATATTAAAGAAAGTTTTTAAATTTAAGCATAATGTATTATGGCAAAGCTTTTTACTAATATTAGTAATATAGGGTTGAATTTCACCAAATCACTTTAACTGTTTTTGTTACTTGTGTTTGTTTTTATTAAAGTTTTCTTTACTCATGCCAAACGTAAATAATAAGTAATAAACTTTCAAAATTAAAACCATTCAGACCCACGCGTCGGATGACTGCCAATAAGGCGAGCGACATAAATTCATATTAGCATGCAGATATTTACACAAAACACAAACAACGAATGTACAGAAATAACCGAACGCAAATATATCTCAAACACATATTGTCTATTGAAATTAATCGCTTAACCCTTTTGCATATGTCACGTTCCATTCCACCCGAAAATTCAAAAGTCCCCGAACGACAGAAGACAATGGCGGTTGGGTGGAAAAATCTGTGTACCCTGCAAAGGAACTGAACCGAACTGACATTAAGCTCAAGGACGACATCGCCCACCCACTGCTGTGCCATTTGTATGGATTATACATGGCTAAATCATTAATATTTTTGTTTTTCTTAGCATTTTGACTTTCTGATGCCTCACAGAAATTTACATAAAATGGGGTTTTTGTCGCCTGCTCTGAAATCTGAAATTGTGTGTGTGCTATGAAAATTAATAAGGCAGGGTCCTCCCATCCCCTGGGTTTTCGTTTCCACGTTATCCTTTGTTAATCCCTACGAAGCGAATGTCGACTGGGAGCATTTGATAAGATTCTGGCATCCTCCTACTTATTTTCCCCGATGATTATGCTGTATCCTGGCAATGTTTTTATGCTGAGGATATCGGCTTAGCGAGGGAAGTGATTTCCCAAAATCATTCTAATTGGAGTTGGAAATGTTAAAAGTTGCTACAGCACAATGAAAGGCTTTTAATTATAAAATATAAATGATGATAAAGCAAGAAATTAGCATTAGCAGAATAGACATATTTTTGTATGTTTATCTTTTTACTTCAATGAAACAAGCATTTAAGAGTGATAAATAAATTAGGCAAAAAGTATGCTATGATAAAATAAATTCCTTATTTATACATATTAGGAAATAATGTTGAAGGAGAAACCGGACACCTGGAACACACATCCACTATATTCCACATCCATTCACTTTCCACATTCCGAGTGCCCCAACTTTCGAACCCATCCCCATGAGTGAACCCAAATGGCCGAATGCATCGCGGTGGCGTCGCTTCCTCGACCAGGTAAATTGCAATATTATGCTAGACTGCGAGCGGCGACGTAATCGCCCTGAGAAACTAGGAAAACGGGTTAATAATGCCATAAACAAAAAACGGGCAAAAAGAGCAAAAGTAAAGACGACACTTTCGTGACTGGCCAGCCAGCCAGCCAGTCAGCGATGTTTGTTTGTTTGTTTGTCGGCCGCCTGGCTTGTTTGCGAGCCGAGCGGAAAGTGAAAGGCAACCAACTCGGATGGCTTAGGCCAGAAAAAAGTGAGTAGACAGCCAGCCGGCTTAGCCATGTGGCAAACACACAATGCCCCCGTCGCATGTGCCTTTGTTGCTATTTTATTGTCGCGGGGCATGCCGAGGAATTAGTGTCTGCCTTATCACAAGGTGGCACGCCTGCACTGGGAAAAACTAATATTAAGTATTCAGTTCAACTATTTATTTATTTCTAATTGTATAATAGAAGAAATATAATTCATATATTAAATGTTAATTAAAACAAAATCGAAAGAATGGGTTTCTAAATAATTAACTGTGCCCTGGTTATATTAAAGTATTTCAATCGATTTAAGAATATTTATTGTACCCTAAATAATTTTAAAATTAAGTTTTGTTTTCCTCGAAATTCGTTTTCGTGCATTTTGACCGGAGAAACACTTACCAAGTGGCGGGTTCAACGACATTGGCAACTCCAACGGCAGCTGCAGCATCATCATTATTATCATTATTATCTTCGTTGTCGTGGGGAATGCGCTCGCAGAAACATATGCTAATAAATTTCTCATAAAAAGCTCTTCACAATGCGAACGCATCACGCTCGACAAAAAGTAAATAAGTCGTGTACGACTCGGAAAAGTCGACCACAATGATACCTTGTGTACGGAAAAACGTTTAAAAATTCAAGTAATCTTACTATCCCAATTTTAAACTCTGTAGTTATCTTTATGCTTTTTGTTTGGGTACAATTATTATACTAAAGTTTGTAAGCAAAGGTTTTTTTTTTGAAATGTTAATATACTAATAAGTTAGAAGACACAAACGCAAATACACCCCACGTTCAGAGTTCATATAAGTCAGATAATCCCCGGATCATCTTCTCGTGTATTCCATCATCTCGCTTTTCCATTCAGCACAATCCGCATTGAGTTATATTTCATGTCACAATCGCCTCTCAAGTTATCCATCAAGCTCACCTTCAAACGCATTCCTCCTTTTATTCCTCTGATGTGGATTTTCCACTCGTCGAAGGGGCGGGAAAAATAATAAGCGTGCATATTTTACAGCTGATTTTCCATCGTTTCGCTCGGCTGTTGACACAATGTGCAACCGGAAATAATTGCACTGTAATGGCTTAATTGGTATTTATGATTGCAGCTCCCAGTGCGGGAATGATGTATTTCTGCACGTGAGATATCGAGATAATTGTGATTTCATTTATTGTCCGTGCACTTGAGGCGCCATAAGAGATTTAATTTAAAATGCTTTCTGCGTATACGTAATGGATTCAGGTCCCCTTTGTTTGCAAAAACCGAGCGAAATGAACACAGGGAAGTACGAGTAAATATTGATAGTAATTTAATTAATAACATGTTTTAAGGTAATGACTTCGATAAGTTATTCATTAATTAAAAACAAAATCCAACTAAATGACTGCATTTCTACAGGAATCTATTCAACCCAAAGTGTTCTCATTATATTTGCATTGTGGCTTAGCTTTTTCAAGCAGAGGTCGTTATTTTCCACAAAACTTACTTGCAAGGCCACCTGCGACTATAATTTGTCCAATGGCTTTCATTCGGCTTTGTTATATACATATTTTCTTAGAACTGGCAGCATTTGCAAGTGCAATTTGTCGTCATTATAGCCGCGCAGCTCGAAGTTCGGAGCTTTTGTGACTTTATTGGCAGCAAATGGGCGAGCGTCGTTAGTTGGGCTCGTTAGCAAGATGCAGCGAGGTGCAGCTTATAAATACGGAGATGCAACACCCGGACAAAAGAGGGGAATACGGGTTTTGCATTCCATAATGGCCGAGAGGCAGCGAGCCGTATTGATTTACGCCCTGTCACGTAGTCACGGTTGCAAGTCCTGGCCTCCAGGACACGGAACTTCGCGATGATGGAGCTGAGCTCCTCCTCGACGCTCGACGGACACTTAATATCCTCTTTATCCCGGGCACTCCTTTAATTTCAGCTGCGAAAATAGTAATCTGTCTTTAAGCGAGCTTTCCCCGCGGGCCATTAGCATAATCGATGGCACTTTGTTTTTCCAGTCGCCGTTGATTTTTCCGTTCCCATTCGCGCTCTGCTCGTTCTGCTCGGCATATGGCCGAAAGTAAATGAATTAATTAACCATGTCACGAGCGTGAAATTTCAACAAAAGCAGCAGCTACCAAAGTGGGAACAATTGCAGTGCGGAAATTTAATTAAGTTGCAGCCATTGTGGAAGGAACTTTTTTGCCCCGGGTCTTCCACGAGGTCTTGAGGGGCTCCGCCGACGGAGGAAGAACGTACATATAGATAGAGTTAATATTGCAATTAAGTTTTTCGTGCAAAAAGTTCTCCTGCTTAATTGTATAACAGTTGTTAATTAGATTTATCGGGGCTGTCTGCCCAGAATGAAGCTACGCGGCTGCTTTAATGAAGTTTCCTTCGTTAATAGAGAAAAACATTAAAAGGAGGAAAACGGAGGAGGAAAAGGAAAACTAATGAAGCATAAATAATTGTCTTCAAACTATTATGAATTACCATAACGCAGTTGTTAATGAAAAGCACTAAAATAATTGTTTTTCTCCGACCCACTTAACCAGTTTAAAGAACCCAAGAGTAGCTGCCAAAAATTAAACACAAAACATGTTTTAAGCTCGATTTGGGTAATTTGCTGCAGCACTTTTTAAATATTCCACGGGATGCGCAAAAAGTTGAGTGCAAATTTTCGCTAACACTGAATTCCGCTGGCACATCACAACTTGGTCAGCATTTTATGCGCTCAAACTTAACGTCGCTGCCTGTTGCTGTGAAAATGTTTTTTTCATGTTCCACACTGCTGCCACGCCCACCAAGGCGAATCTCCCCTGACATGACAACGTGCTCGCCAAATGAATTGTACATAATTCAACAAGCAGCAACTTTAATTGCTCGTGCAATAGAATAAAATTCAACTTTGGATCTCCGCCCTGACAAAACATACTTTTCCGCTTGTTGTCCTGAAAAATGTTATGCAAATTACACATATTTCAAATTTGGAGATGGAAATGTATTTATTTGAAATTAATTTTGGGTTAAGGCCAGAGTGTTTCCTGTCATAGAAATTTGCTTGTTTGCAAATGTCTGCGGATTTCCTGAATAGAGAGTCACAAAAGTAATGGGTCTTGTTTTTGTTCTATTAAGCTAAAAACCATTTATGGGTATTATAAACCCTTTATTTCAAAACAACACTAAATAA